TAATATACACATTATTTGACATAAATTTCATTGCATACTAAAACCATTTAACATAAATATCATTTGTCATAGAATTTATTAAACAGAAATATTATGTTACATAAAACTCAGATAACTTAATTTCCATTTGACATAAAAATTATGTAACATAAATTTCTATTGACATAAATTTCTTTTGACATAAAACTCATTTAACGTAAATTTTATTTGTTATAAAATTCATTTGACATTAATTTCATTTGGCATGAATTTGTTAATTTACAAATTCTAAATTTAAAAATATTAAATTTTGTTAAATTAAAATTTCTAATATGATTGTTCACATTTAATAAAATTTCAGATAACAACGATTCATTACAACAGCGGGACAATGCAACAGTCTGCAGAACTGCTGACTATTTATTAATAACACAGGTTTACAAATTAAAAACATTTTTTTTGCCAATCGAACAAAACATTTTTTTTCCGAATAGTAGGTGTTTGTTGAGTAAGAAAATCATAGTTTTAATTTTTTTCCCTCGTGCAGTTTTTCTGTAGCTTCAAATTTTGCATTTTAGAGGTGCGACGCCACTTAAACTTACCTGTAGGAAAATTAGCTTGTCAAAAAATAATAAATGAGGTATCATTGGAAAGGTTATTAAATTACCTTTCGATCCATAGGTCACAGAATAAAATTCAACAAAAATTGAGAGAGTTACAGTCGATTAAAGATGAAATTTCATGCCAATTTTGATGATTTTTAGACCTTTGAGTAACTTCTACTATTTTTTTCTACATCAAACAGGAAAGAATGTTTAGGTTTTAATTTTTTTATTGATAGACTATATCATTACACAAATTTTAAGTCCTTGTGGACCTCGATTGGATTAAAAATGACAATTCTACACTAAATTTAGTGAACGAAACTACATTCTTCATTTTTAGTATCCCTTAAACATTTGCAGCAAAAATTCAAATAATAATAAAATTTGGTTAAGCGCTAAAGTTACTGAAATCACTAATCAAGAGTTTCTGAAGTCGTAGATTTCGAATGCAATATTAGTTTTGCAAATTTCAAAATGGCGGATCCAATATGGCGGACAAGTTTTCAAAAATCGATGAAATTCGTCTCAAATTCGTTACTCGGGGGTTTTCGGGATCGCTGATTACAAATCTGATGTCAGATTTCGAAAATTAAATATGATGGACTCATAATGGTAAACGAGTTTTTTAAAATCCATCGAATTCGCACCTATTGGATCCGCCATTTTTAATTTTTGAAATCTGACATCAGATTCGTAATCAGCGACCCCGAAAACCCCCGAGTAACGAATTTGAGACGAATTTCATCGATTTTTGAAAACTTGTCCGCCATATTGGATCCGCCATTTTGAAATTTGCAAAACTAATATTGTATTCGAAATCTACAACTTCAGAAACTCTTGATTAGTGATTTCAGTAACTTTAGCGCTTAACCAAATTTTATTACTTGAATTATTGGTGCAAATGTTTAAGGGATACTAAAAATGAAGAATGTAGTTTCGTTCACTAAATTTAGTGTAGAATTGTCATTTTTAATCCAATCGAGGTCTACAAGGACTCAAAATTTGTGTAATGATATAGTCTATCAATAAAAAAATTAAAACCTAAACATTCTTTCCTGTTTGATGTAGAAAAAAATAGTAGAAGTTACTCAAAGGTCTAAAAATCATCAAAATTGGCATGAAATTTCATCTTTAATCGACTGTAACTCTCTCAATTTTTGTTGAATTTTATTCTGTGACCTATGGATCGAAAGGTAATTTAATTACCTTTCCAATGATACCTCATTTATTATATTTTGACAAGCTAATTTTCCTACAGATAAGTTTAAGTGGCATCGCACCTCGAAAATGCAAAATTTGAAGCTACAGAAAAACTGCACGAGGGAAAAAAATTAAAACTATGATTTTCTTACTCAACAAACACTTACTATTCGAAAAAAAAATGTTTTGTTCAATTGGCAATTTCACTGTAAACCAGTGTAATAAAAGAAGCGTGGAATAGATTGCCGCACGAAAATAAAAGAAAATGTTTTGCTGAAATTGATGAGCTCATTGAAAATACAAAAAAAAGTTCACAATAATTAAGAAATAATAAAAATGTATAAATATACATTATTATTATTTCTCTTAATAGATATTTTATTATCTTTTTCTTAAACCCTTAAAATAAAATCAGCAATCAAACAAAAAAGTAATTTATTTCTTTCCCTTCTTTCATCGTCCAAAATCACTACTTGTTATATATTCACTTTTTTAACCAGTTTAAAATTTTGTTGTCAATTTCGAAATTGACAACAAATCTCAATACAATTTATTATGTTACTTGCAAAAACTTATTGTTTAACAATTTTATAATCGACATAAATTAAAATTAATTCTTGAATTAATTTTAACTAATAAAATTTTATTTTCCTTAAATTTCACATCAATTCAAAATTTAATTGCAATTTAAAGTGATGCAAATCTTCATAAGTTTTAGATTTTGTTGACAAAAAAACTTTTTTTTAATTTCAGTAAATTTTCAAATTTATTTAGTTAAATTTTAAATTATATGAACTACTCAAGCTAATAAGTCGAAATGTTAAATTATCCTAATTTAAATTTATTCATATTAATAAAATAAAATTTCAAGCCATAATTACAATTTACTTCTATTTTATTTCTATAACAAATATATCAGGGTGTCTACTTGTCCTTGCATTCCTGGAAATGTCCTGGATTTTAAAAAATGTCCTTAAATGTCCTAGTTTTTGAACTTTTGTCCTTGAATTTTCCATATTTTGCTTTTCAATATTCAATAATATAAAAATTTTACTCAAATTTAAAAAAATAATTTTTTTGATCCATTAAAAAATAATTTTAATTTGTCATTTGATGAAAGAAACTGGTATCATCAATATTAATTTTTAAGTATTTTTATAATAAAATAAGTATTTTTGTTCAAGTATAGGTTAATTTAAATTATGTTTATCGTCATATAAAATAATATTACACAGGGTTGCCACAAAATTTAAATTTTGTTTTTCCCTGACTTTTCCCTGATTTACAGACAAAATTTCCACTTTTCCCTCACCCTAAAGAACATTAATAACTTTTTTTTTAATACATATTTAATCATTATTATTTTTCTATAAGAATTAAGATTTTCAAATAACTTATGAGAATATTATAATAAAACTTGAAGAAATCGACCACTCCGAGTTTTCGACTCGGAGTGATTAATTTCTTCGTGTTTTATTATAAATTTAGGATGACATAGTAATACAATCATTATTTTATTTCATTAGAATATTATAACTATAAATTCAAATTTTCAAAGATTTTAATTTTAACCCTTTTCTAAATTCAATTATTTCAAAAAATTCACGGTATAATGTTTTTAATATTCAATTATAATTTAAAATTTTAAGTGAAATTCATTTGTTAATCATTTTTAAATAGAAAATTTCCCGAGAATTCAATTATTTAAATACAAAAATAAATAATTTATTTAATAATTGCATATTTTTTAAAATCGAATTTTTATGAAGAATTTTATCAAAATTTTTAACAATAATTGAATTCTTTCGGCGAATTTAAAAAAAATTGTAAGAATAAATGCAATTTTCTATCATTTTATTTAAAATTTTATAAAAATAATTGGAATTCTGCGATAAGTTTTGTTGTTTATGAAAATAATTGAATTCTTGTTACGAATTTTTTTAAAAATCTTTTTAAAGAATTTAATTCCTGTGAAGAATTTTATTTGTGAAAGTAATTTGAATTCCAGAAAAAAATATATAATATATAATTGGATTTTTTAGAATTTTTAAATCTTTTTAAAAATAATTAAATTCCACCTAAAAATTTCATCAAAAAATTGAAAATAATTGAAATCTGACAAAGAATTAAATTTTTTTTCAAATAATTGAATTCCTGTGAAAATGTTTATTTTTGAAAAAATTGAATTCTTGGGAAGAATTTTATTTAAATTTCTTAAATAAGCAAATTGCTTAGAAGAATTTTATTTTTTACGAAAAAATTGAGTTGTTTCGAAGAGTTTTACCAATATTTTGTGACAATAAGTGTATTTCTAGAAAATATGTTGTATTTTACGAAAATAATTGCATTCTATGACCGATTTTATTGACATTTTTCAAATTTATAAAGCATTTTATCAAAATTTTTAAAAATAATTAAATTAATTGAATTCCTATAAAAAATGTATTATTTGTGAGAATAATTAATTTCTTAAGAAGAAATGTATTGAAAACAATTGAATTGTATAGGAAAATTTTATTAAAGTTCAATTTAATGAACTATATCTTATTAAGAATTCCTTAACTTTCCTGACTTGTGGCAACCATGTTACACATATAAATGTCCTGGAATTTTAAGTCATATTTTCAGTAGACACCCTGTATATTTTCAAATATATTCAAATTTTATTCTCAATCAGTGAGAATTAATTGACAATTTTGATGAATAGTTTAATAAAATAATTCAAAAGTAACATTTTACAGTATATAGTTTGTTATTTCACAATTTTTAATAACTAATGCAAATTCTAATTTTAAATGGATAAATTAACTATTATTTGCGAATTATTGTTGAATTTAATTGATTATTATAAATAAAAATCACAATAATAATAATAATAATAATAATAATAATAATAATAATAATAATAATAATAATAATAAAAAAAGTATTTTAATTCATAATTAACCAAATTAATTATTTATTATTGATAGAAAAACTAAATTCTGTAACACATTCTACAATTATAAACAAAAACATAATGCGACCATAACCTCATTTTCTTCGGAATAAAATTCAATATCATTAGATCCATTAGATGTTTTATATTCAGACAACAAATAATTAATTAATTAACTTCCGCCACCAATCACTTAAATTTAATTACAATTGTCAGTAAAAAATTAACTACAATTGTTTATTTATAACATTTCACTAATTCATATTTTGCTGCAAATATCAAACAGTTGGCAACAGCACGTTCATGACGTCAGCACGTACACGTTCACGATAGCGAACACGAACGACCGTGCCCATTGTAGAACCGACTTTAGGCAATCTACTAATATTCTGTCCTTGGCGAAGAGATTTAAGGTCTATTTGCAGACATTCTTGAAATTTGACGAGGTTGTCTATAATAAAAAATATCTATAATAGTACATATCTTTAATATTTACAACACATAATAAGCATAATAATAATTGTTTTTTGCATTTAGATTGTGAATCTATATTGAAGCCAAAATCAGAATTTATTTACTTCTAATATATTTCTTAAAATATATTTTTTAGTGCAAAGTATTAGAAACACAAATTTTTAGACTTATAAATATACCAACTGTCGGAATAAGTTAAGAACGGACTTAGGTGAATGAGAAGGTAATTTTTTTAGATGCAAATTTTATGAAATATTAAAAGCGTTCCATACTTTTTTCATACACAAAAATTATTTAATGTTATACTTTAAAAATTGAAACATCCACGGTTGCAAAGTATCGTAATTTGTTTCAAATTAGCTTATGGCATTCTTAATTCTTGCTTATAAAAATAATCTTACCAGTAAAAGTCCAAATGTTCAAATGTATACCAAATCGAATCTTTAGAGTTCTGTGATACGATTCTATGTTATTGTTTGTACGCCTTCGTGGATTGAAAACACTAAAAATTTGCGGTGTTACTTTCCGTATCCATTGTCGTCTGTAATAGTGAAAAAATGGTTCCATTATTCTTCGCGTAGCAGCAGATAAAGATGTGACTATGTCATTAAACGCTTGTTCGATTTCATTCGCAGGCAGCAGTGGTAGGGCCATAATAAGTTTAAAAGCTTCATTTCCTTCAGGACAACGATTTAAAGCAGCATTTAATCTCAATTTTTTCTTCTTTTTCCTCGACGCCTATAAATAAAATTATTTATAACAAATTATTCCATATTATAATGTTAACTGATCTGACTTTGTAAATACCACGTGTTAGTTTTAGTTTTTTTGTCATATTTAAAAATCCAATATATAATATTATTACTTCATTAAATAAATAATTTGATGTTATAGGAAAATGATGTTTATAAATAGGGGAAGTGCGCCGGTTGTGGGCACCCCTACGTAAACTTCGACGGCAAGCAGACTTTACTGAACTAAGTATTGCAAGTCGTGTTCGTTGACAATACGGACTTTTCGTATTGATAACGAAACAAATATATGCATTTGTGTAATAGCTGTGAGCATAATAAAGAAAATTTGCATTAAATAAATAAAAAAGTAATTTTGTATTGTTTTTGAAGAGCAATATATGGGTGTAGATTCGTTCAGAAAAAAAGGGTTTAATTTTTTTTGCAGTGTTGTCATTATATTTTGTGATTTACCTTCGTGTTTAACCAAAATCCTGCATCACAAAACGTGTTGGTCTTTTTAAAAAATGACTCTCATTCCCGGTTGTGGGCACCTTTATGTTAAGGAGGCTCTACCATCTGACAATGATGAGGACTACTGTCTCATCTATCTAAACTTTCTGCCAAGGAAAGTGACAGCCGCAAACTCCATTAAATGCGATGAATATAGTCGTTCAGTGCATTAGAAGTGCGTTATGGTTTGCGTACTAGCTACTTCACATGCAAGCATTATGCTTTTGTTAGCGATGAGCATAGTGTGAAAACGTGTCATCATTTTTGTTCTTTATCCTGGCAAATTCTCTTAAAATAAAGAAACTTTCATTTCTTCTTTATTTGTGTTGGTTTCCTTTAATATTTTTCCATTTTTAGCGGATTTTTCAAGGGTGCCCACAACCGGGTACAAAATTTTTTTTGTCAAAAAATTCCCATTTCACTAAATTTCTAATAAAACTTTTTTATTTAAAGGAATCAATTTACTTCCTTCACTGACAGTCACCTTAGACCTCTAGCTTTAAATTCGTACACATATATTTGTATAATATGCACATGGAAAAATGTTATGATGCAAAAACAAAAAGGTGCCCACAACCGGAACACTTCCCTTACTTTTAACTACTACAAAGCAATATTTCTATAGTTTAGAAATCAGGGAACAAGATTATCACAATAAAAATTTCAGTTTTTTAGATTTTCAATGTTTTTTCGAACGTTGAAATTGGCTAATTTTAATACTTTTTAACAAATGGCGTTCTTCCTTTTTTCAATATTGCGCAATAAAACATTGAAAATTTGAAATTTTTTTGTGATAATCTTGTTCCCTACTGTCTAAACTATAGAAATATTGCTTTGTAGTAGTCAAAAGTAGTGTATACACTTTAAAAATAAAGTTTTATTAGGAACGCCATTTCGGTGTTTTTGGCAGTCTGGGCCTAGGCGCGTGGAACGCCCTGCCAATGAAGTGGTTAAGTGTTTTTTGCTTAATAAAATAGAACTAAATTAAATGTTTATACCGCAACATGATGAAATAGACATCCATTTAAATCGAGTCCAAGAAAAACTTGACGTAAGCCTTCCTGCAAAGCTGTCTCGTAATCTGTCATGGCTTCTGTCATATTTAGGGCAGGCAAAAGTCTTTTAATCTCTTGAAAAACAGTATATAAAAACAATATATGCTTCAATATTTTGTCGTTCCATGAGGACCCAGACAAAAGGAATGAACTATTTGTAAGAATGATGTATTCATTAAAATAATATTAATGTAATTTAGTACAGTACCGTCCGCAATTGTCAGTCCACCCATTTTTAAAGGAATGACAAAAATTTTTTAACATAAAATTCATGAAAACTAAAATTTTTTTTGGTTTATATTTTAAAAGACGATAAAATTTTGAAAAGAATAAGACCTTACAGAAGTCATTTGGCCAAAATTTGTAGAAGATATTCCTAAAAATCGTCATTTTCAATGTTTTACAAAAATTTAAATAACTTCTAAAATAATGAACGCTTTTTAATAATCTTAGGCTTATTTTAAAGGTCTTTTTCTACGGAATAAGAATTACTTATAGGCATTAACCTGTCATTTTTAACTTGGAATAAGCATGACGTCAAAATTAGACAAAAAAATTGGAAAAATTTGAAATCAATTTTTTGTACTAAAAACTATTCTAGAACATATATAAAACATGATATGGTGTAGATTTTTCAAGAAAATTTAATAAAAATATATGTTTGAGTTTCAAAAATTATTTTTCTTTTAATAATATTATTTCAAATTTTTTGAATTTTTTGTCCAACTTTGACGTCATGCTTATTCCAAGTTAAAAATTACAGGTTAATGCCTATGAGTAATTCTTATTCTGTAGAAAATGGTCTTTAGAATAAGCCTAAGATTATTAAAAAGCGTTCATTATTTTAGAAGTTATTCAAATTTTTGTAAAACATTGAAAATGACGATTTTTAAGAATATCTTCTACAAATTTTGGCCAAATGACTTCTGTAAGGTCTTATTCTTTTCAAAATTTTATTGTCTTTCAAAATATAAACCAAAAAAAATTTTACTTTTCATGAATTTTATGTTAAAAAATTTTTGTCATTCATTTGAAAATGGGTGGACTGACAATTTCGGACGGTACTGTATATTACACGGAAAAAATTTGTACAAGAATTCCTAAAAACTCATAAAATTATATTTTATTCAAGCTTTTGGAAAAGTATAGTGAATTTCTGAATTTTTTAAATTTTTAACGAAGAATTATTAATTTGGTCTAAGAATTGAAAAATATTAACTAAAAAAAATTGACTGCTTGAGTACTCTAATCTTTCAAGATTATTATAATATTTCAGTAATTCTCTATCGCTCAATGATTGAGATACTGAAATATATTGAGAAGTGGCGTCAAAAACAGTTATTTTGAAGCCATTATAAAAGACACTTGAAAAATGTTTAAATGAATATTGAATTATTCTGACAATATTCTCCAACTTTTTCCATATTCAGATTAGGATTTATATTTTCAAAATTCATAAAAAAGTACATTTTTTCTAAACGTTTTGAATGAAAAAATTTGTCTATATCTTGATATTTTGCTCAAATTGAGCAAAACCTATAAAATTATTTAGACGTATATATTAAGTTAAATACCTAAAACGAACTTATTATTAATGATTAATTTCAAACAAATGTAATTAAATCTTACATGATTATACTTTTCCGTCATAACGGTGAGTAATTGTTTCGCCTCCTATATTTTTGGCACAACTTTGAATGTTGCGTCGACATAAATTTTTCCACTTGTGCAAACTTGATTAGCAAAATTAACGTCCATCATAACAACAAAAGTACCAAAATCAACTCCATACACGGAGGAAATGTTCAAAAAGCCCCCAGTATAATTTTTTAAATGTGCCCAGTCATTATGATTTATTATGTTGCAAAATGAAGCAAGCATTGTAGCTGTTGGTGGTTTTGGGGGTAGGCTTTTTTCCCGCCATCTAAACATCAGATTTTCATTCTTTGCGAATGTCAAAGTAACAGAGGCCTCAGGATTCAAAAGTAGCAAAAAGTAGCTTTTAGATTTCGATAAAAAATATTCACCCTTTTTTTATCCTCATAATAACTTCAATTCTAAATTTTTATTAAATTCAATTATTTTCCAAATTTTTAATTACAATTCTTTAAAAATTCGTTTATTTCTAAAATTAGTATATTTTGTAACGAGTGCGAGCAATTGCCAATTTTTGAATAAGCACTTTTTTGGGAACAAACTGTAGGCGAAGCTTCGCCTACAGTTTCTTCCAAAAAAAGTGCTCATTCAAAAATTGGCAACTGCTCGCACTAGTTACGAACGATATTTTTCATGACAAGGTGCAAAAAGTGCCCTTTTTAGCACCGCGTTATGAAAATATTTTTTTTTTTCAATTAAGTATTATATTTACTTTAATTACATTTGACAAAATTTCCATTTAGTTCAAAATTTAAATAAATAATTTTAATTTTTATATTATTCAAAAATATTTATTATCATTATTATTATTATTATAAAAATAAATATTAAAAAAAATTGAATTAAAATTTTCCAAAAGATTAATTTTTTTTAATTTCTAAATTAAATTTTTTTCTATAATAATTTTTGTTTAATAAATATATAAATACTTATTTGTTTTGCTTCTGAGATTAAAATTTGAAATAATTTTAATTAATTTAAAGTTGCTTAAAGTTTATTCTTTTCTAAACAGGAACATTATAATATTCAATTAATAATAATAAATAAATAAATAATAATAAATTAATATTCAATTTAAATCTATTATTGTAACTGTAGTTCTTAAAATAATAGTTTTTGTAATTAAAAACTATTATTTAAATATATATAAATTTAAATAAATGAATTCTTCAAAAAAAATTTCTGAAAGTTATTAAATTTATTAAAATTGTATTAAAAAATGATTGAATTTCTGAGCCGAATTTTATTATTTGTGAAAATAATTGAGTTCTAATAACGAATTTTATTACAATTTTTGAGAATAATTCTTTTATTTCAATTATTAGTAGATTTGAATTAGTGCAAATTTTCTAACAAAAATAAATAAAGCAGATCTTTGTATCCAAATTCAAAAAAAAGTATCTACATTCAAAATTGTAAAAATGATTTATTTTTAATGCTAATAATGTAGAATACGTTATTAAAACCTTTTACGATTAAAATGATATAATTATATTAAGAATCTCAATACTCACGATAGACGAACTTTATCATAGCAGGTTTTAAAACTTTCTGAAGTCGAGGTGACTGCTTTGTGTAAGTCTCTTTTGAACAATTTTTCCTTTATAGATTGATGATTAGGTGTGTGAGAGTGGTGCTTTCTTAATGTGAAAAAATCATTTTTCAAAATTCCTCTGCCACTGCATTGACCACTTTTGTGTAATTTACAAACCAAATATCTACAAAATCGTTTGAAGAGCAATGTTGTTTTGAGAAAATTTTAATAAAGTCAAATAATGATAGATAAAGATAATAGAAATGGAAAAACGAACCAAAAAAGAGTTTTTTTCCACTTTCTTTTTATAAAAAGTAATACTTACGTAGTGTTGCCCTTATGACTATTTATAATGTACTCGAAACCATCATAAATATTATTGCTGAAAATGCGTAAAGCAGAGGAGCTAAGTGGCTCATTATCCATGTTAAATGATTTTAATTTCGAAAGTATATTCTTTTGTAATAAGTAAA